CGCCTCTGTCCCAGACGCCTGTAAAGACCACATTTTATCTGCAGCGTCTATTGCCCTGTGCCCATGGGCCCGGCTAATGTACCCTTGTTTGATCTAGGGAACTTTGTTGGCAGCACGACTTGGGAATCTGTCACAAACAAAACGATTGTTCGATGATCAGAAAAGTCCCCCCCCCCCTTTATTTTCTCCCGGAAGAACTACCCTCAAAGTAATAAACCACAATTTTCACCTTAAACTAATTTATAAAAAGCCCAAACAAATATAAATTCTAAAAAAAACCCAACCAAACCCCAAAAATAAAGCAAAAACCAAAACAATCAACAACAACAACAACAACAACAACAAACCAGCATCAACAAAAAAACAACAACAACAAACAAACACACGAACAGACAAACAAACAAATCCGAGTTTGATTCCAAAGTGGGGAGTTTCTCAGTCTTTAGTCCTCTTACCGGGATATTGTATCCCTTTCAGCCAGGGTTGGCCCGACTGATAGGGTCGGAAGCCCGCCTCCGAAATCATCTAAATTGTGTCTACATTAAAAAAAAAAAATTCGACAGTAACTTGCACCGCTTTTATTTGCCGAGACCAGTTAAGCCGAGTGCACACTTGAAACATTTTCACTCGTCGCATGACTCCGAAGTATGACGTCAGTTGGCGGTAAAGAGAGACAATCGAGCAACAACTGCCTCATTTGACAACCATGCGACCAGCAGAACTTTTCCTAACGTGCGCAGGGCCTAAGCCTGGCGCATTGAGTGTTTTCGTTGTTAGTTTTAGTAAGAGTGAGTTTTACGGCACTTGCAACACAGTAAGCCATTCAAGTGCTGGAGATTTAGAGGTGTTACAAGAGTTACAAACACAAAGAAGAAGGAGAGATGAGGACGATCCGTTTGATAGGAAAGAAAGAGCAAACCACGCCAGAGCACTCGCCAACCTCCCGCATATTTAGTATATTGAATAGTGATACAATGTCTGACGATGACTAACGCAAAGATTTCTTAAGTGAAATGGAACAATTCAAATTAAAGATTATTTGTGGCTTCTGCATAGGCAAACGAGACCATTTTTGATAGAGCCGTTTGCCACATTTCTAGCATCCAAAAGCTCTTCTTCCACATTAATTGGATGTGTGCAACTTGCGTGTTCTTCTCTTGGTTTCAGCTTTACTCGTGAAGCCTATTACGTCTTGCTGCCTTCTGTGACTGCTGTTCTCCTACTGGCTGTGTTAGGAGCTAAGCTCTCCCATGTCGAAGAACATGAGTGTACTGAACAATAGGGCAAAACAGGTTAAATGTGAAGAACGCTATTGTTGCAGGATCCCTACAAAAACGTCATATACCGTTTTGTCTCTTTATATCTACAGCTTCTTTTTGTAAAATGTTGAAACATAGGACGACATACGACGATATTCATGATACTATAATGAACAGTGCCCTTTTGTCGTTGACCTATTGTTTGGGGTGCACTCTTAAAAACAGTATTTTCCTTTTGAAAAGGATTGGGGT